CGGACTCTAAACTTCGGGCCACATATGCCCCCCTCTGCAGGGCACCAGCACAGCTGGGTTCCCTTTGGGACTGCTGTTCACCTGTGCCTGTTGAAGGAATGGTGTGAATTGCAGCTGAGCTGTTGCATTTTGTCTTGTAGCGCCCAAGCATAAGAGTACTGAGAAAAGAGAGTCTCCTTCGCCAGCACCCAAGCCCAGGAAAGCAGAATTGTCAGAATCAGGTATGGCTCTGGCTTCTCAGCTCTGCTGCTTGGTGTGGGGTTTTCAGTCAGAAATGCTTGGGCAGGGAAGTGCTGAGCCCTTCTGGAAATCTGGCATTGAAAGCAAGAGTTTTCAGAACTCTGAAGGTGATCACTCCTACTGCCTCAGTGTATCCGAGATTGCTTGGAATGAAAGTTCAGCCAAAGTGTATTCCAGCCTTATGTTATCCTGAGATTTGAGTGAGGGAAAACCCCATACCTGATGGTCTGCTGTCCATAACTTTGCTTCTGCCTGCATAGGCAAATCTGTATCCCTGGTTTAAGTGCCCTGTCCTTGTGTGTCCTTTCAGAAGAAGACAAAGGAGGCAAAATGGCTGCAGCAGATTCTGTCCAACAGAGGCGTCAGTACAGGAGGCAAAATCAACAGTCTTCATCTGGTATGGAGCACAGAAATTCCCGAAAACTGCGTTGTAGTTTCCTTTTGCAGGAAGTAGTTAAGTTCAAATACAGATTAAAACTATTTGCTCAGTGCTCTCAGTGCTATTGTAAACTTAATTACAGATTTGCCGCTCATAATGAGGTCACTTTAATTATTACTCAGGAGGAATAAAAGTGACTTTTAAAGGTCATTACATCTTTTCTTAATGGGTTTGCATCTTTAAAATTGCGCTTCTAAACTCTTAACATCACGCACAAATATTGTAATGTGATTACATCATCTCTCCTTACTTTGGCCTCTTTATGCTTGAGATCAGTAAATTCCCCTGGGTATTTTTGTCCACATAGTTTCAAAAAGCAGCTGCAGTTCACCTTTTAAATTATCTGTCTAGCCAAATTTTATGGGGACAGTTTTTTTACCCAGTAGATTTATTTATCACTTAAGTTCAGCCAATGCCTTCAGCCAATCCATTTTAAATTTTGGGTTCTCGTTTTATGGGAGATGAGGTTGGTTTGAACTGCAGCAGTGACCAGTATCTCAAAGATCATTTTCCAGAGAGTGATTCTTTCTATGTTTGCAGATTCTGGTTCTTCATCTTCCTCAGAGGAGGAGAGGCCCAAGAGGTCGAACGTGAAGAACGGGGAGGTGGGCAGGCGCCACCGGCACTCGCACTCGCGCAGCCCCTCGCCCCGCAAGCGCCAGAAGGATTCCTCCCCTCGGTAACTGCTGAGCTCAGCTCCTCCCTCCTGCTATTTCTGTCTGTCTCTCTGCCACTCTCACCAAATGCACATCAAGTCATGCCCACTCTGCCCAGACTTCTTTCAAGGTTTCCTTCCCATTACACTCATTTGGCAGAAATTGCTCTGACCTTTCTTTGATGGTGTTCGTTTTTGCCTCAGACCCGTGGCAGATAGATCTGTTTTGTTTTGTTTTGTTTTCCCTCCACTGCTCTCAGGATGCAGATGGAAAAGAGGTGGCAATCACCAGTGATGAAAAGGTTGGTTAGAAATTCATCTCTTAAACAGGCTGTCATTTATTTTGGCATGGATAAGCATTTGCCATCCTTTTGTCCTTTGCACATTCACAGTGAGGGAAATCCAGACTGATGTGCTCCTTCTTTTGTTGGACCTGGAACCATTTCACTGGCAAAAACAGAAGGAGCAGCACCTGCTCTGTGTCCCTCACTGCTCACCCCTTGTTAATTCACATCAGCCTGTGGCATCAATAACTTTGATGCTGTTCCATCCCACTGATGCCTGGAAACAGCTGAACACTTGTGTTCCTCAGGGGCTCCTGGCTCCAGACACCCAGCTTTGGGTGAGCAGTGTTGGGTTCCTGCTGCCACTGACTCAAAGCCCTCCTGCACACTTGCAACCAGCAATTAAGATCTTGATCTTCTGGGTCAGAGATGATTGGAGTTTTCAAAACTCTCCTTCCTCAGTTCAAGGGATATTTGAAGCATTGGAAGTAGACAATCAGTAAAACAGCAGTGACTTTTTTATTTGTGACACTTTTTGCTCTGTGTTGGTCTAGAAATACAGAAAGGTGGAGGAAGCCTGATGGGTTTATTAATTGGATGTAATGACCCTTGAGCAGGCTGTAATTAAGCCTTAGCTAGCAGATACTCCCAGCACACATCATGATGCAGGAGATAGGGATGACTCCTCACCAATGCAGACCTTCCTAATTATGGATCCTGTCAAACATTTCTATGGAAAACAGGTTGGGATTCAAAGGCTTTGATCTTGTTTTGCAACACCCTGAATTCACGTCCTGCCTGTTGCATAAATACATGTTTAATTAGGACAGTTGGTACATTTGAAGGCTGGGGGTTTTTTGGATCATAAAAGAACATTGTATTTTGGAGCAAACTCTTATCTATAAAAGTGTGTTTCTTTGCCTTGGAGAACAATACCCAGCATGTTTGAAATCAGATCTCACTTAATGTAAATGAGCTGCTTTGCTTTTTAATTGCTCTCAATTTTCCCTTATCCAGTCATTTTATCTTAATTGCTTTTTTTAAAAAAAAAGGAATATTTCTCTTTGCCAGTATTCCTTGCCTTTAAAATTCTATGCAAGAATGTGTTGGATTAAAATTCCCCCTTCCAGAAGTCTGTTGTAAACCCTGCAAAGCAGAAAATGGCTAATTTGGTGAACAGTTTCGATCCAGAGAGCTGCAGTTTAGCAGCCACTCTGGTTTTTTTCCACTGCATTTCAAGAAATAAATAATTTTGGATTTCAGATGGAGCACAGTTTCACACTGTGAAGAAAATTACCTCCACCCAAGGCAAAATCAGCATGCCATCCATCACTTATCCCAACCATTTGGTCTTTCTTTGGCTGTAAGGTGGTGATGGATCAGGTTGTGCAGATGTGGAATTGTTTC